ATGTGCGTATGTGTCTTTCCCCACCTGGCTATTACTTACTCATTTTGGTATTTGGTCCTTGGGAAAAGTATAACAAAGGAAACCTTTGGGCAAATCTAGAAGCTTTCAGATTCGGGTTTTCCCAGATGTGCCAACATGGCTCTCTTAATCAATTGGAACTTTGAGGAATCTTTTGCCTCGGACTCTGATTTACTTTTGGATGCTATTTGGAACCCTGACATTCAGTCTGGATTTCTGGATCCTGCACCTGGTTTTCCAACCAGCTGATCAAATGCGAGCAAGGAAAGAGCTTTCTAGTATAGGTAGTCCTCTATTTACAACCCTTCGCTTAGTGACTGTTTGATGTTACGACGGAGTCTGAAACAAGTGAAATACCACCTCTGGTTAACACTCACATTGAGGACGACCCCTTCGAGAGCGTCTTGGGCCTTGCTGGCCAGTCGCTTCCCAACCTAGAAAACCAAGGAGACAGGAGAAGTTATCCTCTGTGAGGAATGGCTAGGGAGAAGGTGGGTGATCATCCATTAAGGGGCAACACATGACGACTGACAAGCGAGAAAGAGACCCTGAAGAATCCCACCTTGGTTATTGTCTGATGGGCTGTCAGCTGAACAGCTGAAGCCTGTTCCCAGTATGCACATGCGCAGAGCTGCCAGAGGAAGGGAACAGCTAAAGAACAGGGGTCGACTTGGAAGTAAGGCCACAGGTGGATGATGAATGGCCCCTCCCAGAGGAAATAAAAGGGGAGTGGAGTTTGCAGGAGACAATTACTTCGCTTCATGGGTTCGTGACTCTCCGAGACTCCTTCCAAGTTCTGCAGATATCGGCCTGGCAGCTCTCCAAGCCAGATAAGGTCTGTGACTATAAATCCTCCCTTGAAAGATTTTGATGGATTGAATGAGCAGAATTCACAGTCGATTTTTGTCGGGATAAGGAATTTGCTTTAGGCTCTCGGGAAGCCTCGGTCAAAACACAGCTCTTCTTCCTGTTCCTCAAGGTTATTCCTTCTACCCATTACAAAGGCTTTTAAGAGTCCGTTCTCATACCCAATAAAAGTGGCATTTCCGAAAGGCAGTGTGTTTCCTAACCTGGCCTATCTCAAAGGCAGAAAAATTACCTGGATGGGATGCTTGAGTGCTTCGAGGACGGTGATACGAGAGGTTTCCCGCACCAACGAGGGCTTGCCCAGGCGAGCTTCGATATACCGCCCAGCCACAGCAGTGGCGTTCTTGGCACTGTAGATGCCAACGGCCAGCAGAGTCAATCCCGCCACCTGCCACGAATCAGAAAAGCAATGCTTTCAGAACTTTTTTTCAACCACACACAGTTCTAACAATGTGAGGGTTATTTTAAGGAACAAACTCAGTGTTGTGGCCCGACAGTGGCCAGCCAAGCTGGCAGCAGAGTCAGACAGTGAGGAGGTTGGGGAGGAAGATGGGCCAGTCCTGGAGTCTGGGGAAGGCTCTGTGTCGGAGGCAGAGAGGGGGCCAGAGCCGTATGCCAATTATCAGCTGCTTTCGGAGTCAAACATCAGTGGGGCAGACGAACAGCTGGAGCCTGTTCCCAGTGTGTGCATCCGCGGAATTGCCAGGCGAAGGGAACGGCTAAAGAACAGGGGTCAACTTGGGAGTAAGGCCACGGGTGGACGATGAATGGCCCCTCCCA